AAAAAGCATTTACAACTTTGGAGAGAGCACTGGTAATGGTTTATTGAGTTGAGGGGACTGTTATGTTACAGTCTTGATGGCTTTTTGATGACTGGTCAGAAAAGCTGATCTATAAATCCATCCAGTTTTCACACACACAAAAAAGGATGTTTTCTTTACATTTGAAATCATGGGTCTATGGAGGGGGAGGATTGTTATAGCTGTTGGGGAAATTAACTTTTAAGAAATGGTAATAACAGGATTTATTAGTTCTTACTGTTGACAATTCAGAAGTTAAATGGTAGAATGAAAGAGAGAAAGAGGTTTTGAGGGGTATACTTTAGTGCTGGAAGTACACGGAAAGACCAGTCGGAGAGTAGGATCCCCCCCCTGGAGAAGACTTGAGAAGCCATCAAATCAACCCCCCACATTCATTTCGGGGGGAGAGAATGAAACAACGCCCTTGGTATGGCCCTGGGGCTAAGCCCTGCTTCTGAAAAACCTTTGCACTGAAAGCCTGGTTTGTCCACCCAGTGTGCAGTGCATCTGCCTCTGGCATGGTGCTGGCTTGGAGGACTTGTTGCCTCTACAAGCTGAAACCCGGGTTGAATTCCTGGTTGGCAACCACTGAAAGAGGGTGGGGTTCCCAGTCTTCTGAGCAGTGGGTTCCCCATCTAACTCAACGATGCCCTCTTTGGGCACTGGTGGAGAATCACTTCAGAAGGAAACACATCAGGTCTCTAAACCCAGAGCTGGACCATAGCCCAGTGATGGACACTGGGAACACAGCACGGAGAAACAGGATCGGGTGTGCTTGTGCATAGGCTCCCTAACTCGAATGATTTCCTGGGAGGTGCTGGGTATTTCCCCGTTTACCGGCAGAATTATTTTCATTTCTAAATTTCAGAGAAAGAAAGAAGAATGCCATTTCTTCTTATCTGTGGAAAGGAGTTTAAATTTCTTCCCAAGGGCAGTGGGGGAGTCTTTGAAGCATGTAAAGGCCCAGAGACAGGTGGCCAGAGTAAGGAATGGCCAGGGTGGGGCACAACTGGAGACAAGAGACAAGTGAGCACACTGCCACAGTAGCCAGTGAGGGAAGATGGTGGCCTGAACCGGGGCATGGCAGTGACAGATTTTTGCAGTCTTAAGCGGGTAAAAGCGTAAAAGCAGCAAGGCTTTGGTAGTTGATTGGATGTGCGAAGGAGGGAATGAGTTGATAAGGATGACTCATAGGTCTGCTGTTGGGCAACTGGGTGGATGTGGCATTGTACTCAGAGAGGGCACGGTGGAGGAGGTGGCAGGACTTTGGGGAATGAGATAATGAGTTCCCAGATTCAGGTATTGGGCAACTAGGCTGAGAAAAATTGAGTGATAGAAGATTATAGTTCTGTATATACATTGAGAAATGCAGAGGCTTCACATGCAAAGCACATTCGCATGGAGCGTTTCAACAGAAATGCTGATTTTGTAGAAGAGGAAGGCAAAGGGTAGCTTGGTCATGCTCGCTGCTCCACACCCAGAAGTTCATTTCACAGTCGCGATCTGAGCGGTGCATGTGGGTTTCCTCTATAACTTTTACAGAGTTCAACAGGGGTCCATTTCGGGTGTCCTTTTTAACTAATAACGGGATCAAGGGAAACACACCAGCATGCTTTCTTTTCCATCATGCCAAAATAAACAGATTTTCCTAAGGATTTTACTAAATGGGAAAAAAAAGATGCCCTTTTTTTCTTTTCTTTTCTTTTTTCTTTTTTTTCAGACATCTCTTTTTCCAGAGCGACCTTGCCTTGGGTCCATATCATAAAACTGGAAATTTGTGTGAGGCAAAGAAGGCATCGAGGTGTTGAGAGAATTTAAAGCAAATATTTTCCATCTCCAATGAGAACTTCTGAGCAAGAAACTTAGGTGGGAGAGAGAAGAATTTAAATTGACGTAAAAAAATGCTTTCTTAAGGGGCAGATTTGGAAGACAAGCTGTGGAACTGCATTCTGGAAGGATCCGTGGGAATAGGAGACACAACCTTCCATCTATAGAATTTCATGGGAGGCCTCCGGTGTCCTTGGCAGGAGGGGCCTGGGAACCATTAAAGGAAAGTCATATTTCTGGATCTTACTTTGAATTTCATCCTATCAAATCACAGGTCCAAACAGAACCTCTCTTCCTGCAAATATCCTAGTACAGTTTAACTAAAGGACAAGGTGGCCAAAGTTAGAATATCAGTTCATTTCAGCAGCTTGAGAATCAAGAGACTGAAATTCTAGCCCTAGTTCAGTTTTAGACCCTCAATAACTTTGGACAAGTTACTTAACTTTGAGAAGAGGGCCTTGGATTTCTCATCTGTAAGATGGGAGTGATTAGGTACCTCACGAAGGCTCAGGGAATTATATGTGATCATGGCATGTAAGTCGTTATCACAGTGCATGGCACGTAGTCAGCCCTCAATAACAGTCAGCACTATTGTTGACGCGGCTCTTATTCATGATGACTGTCCTCCCTCCCTCGCCAGAAGAATAAATTACTCGATATAAAAAGTCTCTTAAAAGCAGAAGGTACTATGCAAAAGCGGTGATGCTATCAATTACTATTATTAATAATAGCTTCATAATTACTTTTGCCACAGTATTAAGTGAAAGTCCCTGTGGGTGGGTGATGACTGGGAAAATGGGAACAATTATTAATGGAGCTGCCAGCTCCTGTTACTAGATCCATCGACATAATATTTCTCTCTAAGAATCCTTTGACAAATAAGCTGAATTTCCTATTCCCTTGCCCTAAGCACTGTAAATGTGATCCACATGTCCCCAGTGTTGTTTCTATAGATTAATAACAAAGAAAAGAGGAGGAACCAGGGCTGTACTGGGACCCATAGCTGTGTGGATTTCTCAAATGTTGGGCTGTCTGAGGGTTTTAGCTTGTGTAGAGGTGGGGCGGGGGAGGCAGGGGGGAGCTGTTCTCTCTTGTTTCACTTGTTTTAATGTTCAAAGCCAACTTTTCCTAATGGGTACTCAGCTCTCAGGGAGAGTTTCTGCTTTGGGGAATAGGGCTGGCCCAGGGGGCAGTCATGCCTTCCTCCTCCTCTCCCTGGAAACGGCTTTGAGGAAGTTCTTTGATGCTGGGCCTTGCCAGACAGGAGTCAGTGCCGGATGTGACAGGAGGGGCCACTGCCATCAAGAAGGGGCGAAGGGAGATTGGGGGTGGGGAGTGGGGGAGACGAGTCTAAGCCACACCAAGACAGTGCCAGGCTGCAGTGAGGCAGCACAAAGGAGGGCAGGGAGGTTGGGTCAGAGGAATGGCCGGCTAGGAAGGCAGGGCTGACCACCTGATGAACATACAGAGTGGTCAGCATCTAGGCAGGAAGAGAATGCCATGTGTGTTTGCCCCAAGAAAGAGAAATACACCGGGCTCAGCACAAGGGCTTCTGTGGGTAAAGCGAGCAGTAATAATACAGCAGTATTATCACATTCACAAGCCACCAAATCAGGACAGCCATAGATGAGCTTGGGGGTGTGTTCATTGGATCCGGGCTTTCAGAGGGTTAAGTGTACACAGTCTATAGTCTAGCCATAGATGAGCTTGGGGGTGTGTTCATTGGATCAGAGGGTTAAGTGTGCACAGTCTATAGTCAATCAGACCCAGGTTCGAATCCTAGCTCTGTCACTTAGTTAACAAGTTGTTCAAACTCCCTGAACGTCAGTCTCCCAGCATCTAAAATGGGGACAGACGTGCATACCTTGTTGAAAGAAAAGTGAGATAGTGTAAACAAAGCCTACGTTCCCAGCGCATAGTAAAAATAATGCCACAGCTCCCGACCAAGCACATTCTCTGAGCCACACTCTGAGCCAGTGGCCCAAGCTTTGACGTCCAGCATCTCGGTTAATCCGCATAGCTGCTCTATGGGGTAGGTACTCTCCTTATCTCTAGTTAACCGGTGAGGAATTGGAGGCACGGAGAAGTGAGGTAACTCGCCCAAGATCACACTGCTGGTTAAGTGACAACAAAAAACATGAACCCAAATGTTCCAGCCCTACCGTAACTGCTCTGCTACATACCCTGTGGCTGTTGTCATCCTCGTTACATTTCTGTGGGGGGAACAGGGAATTCTAACCCGAATTTGGCCACCTCCCAGGGGCTCTCCAGTTATCTCAAGGAATTTTAAGAGATTTTCCCAAAATGGACTGATTAAATTTCTATGGGTATTTTCCTTAAAAAATAAAAAATAAAAAAGTTCAGGGTAGATGGACAAAGAGGCATTGATCAAAGCAACAGCAGTTACTAAAAGCTGGGAATCTCTGTGATCACATGCTCTTAAGAACCAACATGTAATTTTCAGCCAGCCCGATTTTACTTTTCTGGTGCTTTCTAAGAAGCCACACAGAGAGTTAGAGAAATTTACGGGCTCTCACCCTCTGGGATTAATGCTGACAGCCCCGTTTCTCCGTTGCCGAAGTGCTAATGAAAAACACTAATTGGACTTGGCCAGCGGCTGGGACGTGTCCCCTTCTTAGAGGGGAGAAGGCGACATCTCTTTCTCCATAGTTTTTCCCAGTCCCTCTCATGGCTTGAAGAGGGAAAGGACTGAGGGTGACGCTGCCCTTTAGACAGTCAGGTAGATGCTGACATCCGGCTCAGCCCTCCCGTCAGCACTGTGAAGACAGAGCCGGGTCTCTCTGTGTCGCCCCAGCACTGGGAATGGAGCACAGAGCCTGGGCCGAGTGAGGCACTCTGTAAACATTCAGCGAATGAAGAAGTGAAGGAGTGCACGAGTCCTTGTATGTCCCACAGGCGTCAGTAGGCCAGTTCCTTGTGCCTCTCCAAGAAAGGGAGGTCTCCGTGTGGCTTAAAACCACGTGTACAAGTCCACCGCACCTCACCCTGGCCCCTAGGGCACCGTCCACAGTAAGAAGTCAGTGGTCTGCACGTGGAGCCTTGAGATTGCTCTAAGAGGAAGTGAGGGCAGGGCCATGGCCTGCGGAGCTTTGCTCCTTTCCTGAGGTGACCTGTCTGCCTTGTTTCCCCCACAGGTGTCCTCTCCCTCCCGGCATACTTCAGTCCCTACAACGGCGGGTCCCTGGGCCATGATGAGCGAGCCGATGCCTATGCGCAGCTGGAGCTCCGGACGCTGGAGCAGTCCCTCCTGGCCACCTGCGTGGGGAGCATCTCGGAGCTGAGTAAGTGTGGCATCTCTGTCTAGCTGGCTGTAAAGGAAGAAGGAGGGATGAGGTCGTCTTCTGGGGTCTGGCCTCCTCCTCCTCTGTGCTTCTTGCCTTCCCTGAAAGCTGCATCTTTCTAGGCCAGAGGTTGCAAACTGGCGTTTCACAAACATGTATGGTTTGGCCAGCACGTGGACTTAATCACACACAAATCCAGATTTGTGGATTCTCTTGAAAAAATCAGATGGTCTGGCAACACTGCACCCCACTCCTGCATGGCAGTGATGAGGAGGAGCTAAGTAGCAGCTACGCAGACAGAGTGTGTCCCCTGCATTGTCACATAGTCGTTATCTTATAGCTGGCCTGTTTCATTTATTTATTTTACCTGTCTGGCCCAAAAGGCTGTGAATTTACAACTAGTATTTTTTCTTAAAAGAAAGCACCCTTGAAAACTCAACATAGAAAAAGGAAGATAAAAACAACTGCTCTGGCTGAAGGAGGGTGTGGTCGGGCGGCCTCGGCCCTGCAGCGGCCCTGGGCGTCTCCCAGGCCTTACTGCTCTGTGGAACACGGCTGGAAACCCCTTGGTCTAGGTCATTACCGTTTGAAGCTGCTTCACAAAAGTCTGTTAGGAGGCAAGAAGTGCCCTGCATCTCCTGATCTGTCCTTCTCGTTGCTGCAACTCTTTGAGAAATCAAACTGCACACTCTTCCTCCTCAGTTCTCCCTCACTGAGACCGCCGAATGGAGGGCAGTGACACATGCCAAGGGTTATAGCACACAGTTTGGAAACAGATGCAATTCTACTCTGCTCCAGCCTTTTCCCTTTTTGCTTTCTTTAAGTATTCTGGCCCCCGAACACTGAAGAAAACCTTTCTGTTTCTTCAGGACACAGCTTCCTCCTATTCTCCCTCCATTCTTCCTCTCCTTCCCAGGACAGGAAACAGAGGTGCCTGGTGCAGGGTCACAGAGCAGAGCAGTAATAGGGCTGGGAGAGAAAGTGGGACCTCCAGCTCTGTCTCCTGGGAGCATTGCAGCATGGCCACCTGGGTCCCCTGCCCCTTGACAGACACTGCAGAAAGTGGGCTCAATGTATGGCTTGGTTTCCACCCGTGATGAATGTCTCCTTGACAGTGGGCTACTGGGAGCCAAGCACAGCCTGTGTTTGGCAAACTCTGCTGCCCTGAGAACAGTGAGGGGCTCACTCAGCCCTCAGACCACTGAAGAGCTCCTTGGTTTTATGTTGCATTTCGAACATTAAATGAGCACTTACTATGTGCAGGGCACGGCATGAAGTGCCTTATTCACATGATCTCATTTATTCCTGAGAAGAATTCAGCAAAGTTTTTCCTGATGAGGAAATGGAGGCTAAGAAAAGAAAAATTATTTCCCCAAGTCACGCAGCTAGTAAGAGTCAGTGGGGGCTTGACTCCCGACGTGCCTGGCTTTAGCGAAGCTCTTTATCATGTGGGGCTCTGGGCTCCTAGATGTGGTTAGCAGCCCATTCAGGGTGGCTGAGGTCAAGACTGAACTCTGATCCTTTGCTTTTTCTCGTGGCGGCCTCTGTGTCCACTACAATCCACAGCCAGCCAAAGGGGAGCATTCAGAAAATTCCCTTGGGGAAAGAAAGGCTTGTCATTATTCTGGCCTTACTGTTCAGCCCAGAGACAAAGTCCTATTGGTTCTACTTTCTAAAGCTATCCAAACTTTAATTTGCTCCTTTTACCACTGCTACCAACTCAGCCCAAACCAGAGCCATTTAAAACACAAATTGGGTTATGTCACTTATCTGCTCAATATCCCCTCCATCCACCCCCACGGCTTCCCATCTCACTCAGTGAAATCCAATGTCTTCACCATAGCCCAAGATCGAACATATGGCTTTATCGCCTGCTATTCTTCTCTAGTTCACTGTGCTCCAGCCACCCCAGCCTCCTGGCCAAGTACTTCCTACCCCAGGGCCTTTGCACTAGCTATTCTCTGTGCCCATGAGCTTTTTCACAAATACTGAAGTATGTTGGTCTTTCACTTTCTTCAAGTCTCTGCTCGTATGACATCTCATCAGATAGGCCTTCCCTGAGCACCCCGCATAAATGAGCACCCCACTCTATTTCCTGTCTCTTCTCTTATGGCTTTGATTTTTTCAAGGCACGGATCACCACTTGACATTTATCCCATATTTACATGTAAATAGTTTATCATCTCTCTCATCTGACTAGAATGTCAGCTTCATAAGAATAGAGACTTTCTCTGCTTTGCCCCCTGCTGTTCTGTATCCCTAGTGATTAGGACTGTACCTGATGCGTGTGTGTGTGTGTGTGTGTGTGTGTGTGTGTGTGTGTGAGAAGGAATGAGTTCTCTGTCATCCTCCTAAATGTTTGCCTCCTAAATCCCACCTAGGAGTGGGTCACATCCTGGCCCAGCCGCTCCTGGGGGCAGAGGGAGGAAGCAGCTGCATAACATCTTTTCACAGACAACTGGACAGGCTGCACCAAGTTGCCACAACTCCTGAGCTCTGAAACCTGGGTTTTTGCTCACCCACTGTGAAGGAGGGAGGAGATAAGGTGGAGGCCGACATTGCAGTTTTTCACTCCAAGACTAAAGAACTTAATGAGGCTAGTGATACTTGGCACTGAGCCACATGTACCTAAAGCTTTACCCTGGGTTTAACATGCATTAACTCCCTGCACCTCGCCAAGACCAGTCTGCCAGGTAGGTCAAGACGTTTCTTTCTTATATCAGGTCAACCGCACAGGGAGCTGGGGCACTTGTATTTTTCTCTGTGCTCCTCTACCCATGAAAATGTAAATGGGAGAGAATAAAAAGTAAGAAAAACGAAACGTTTCTTTTTAACGGCAGCCAGATGGTGAAGGCCTCATTTCGAAGACGGTGCTAAATTCCAGACGCTCACTGCTCGTTTTATTTGATGGCTCATAACGAGGGGTGGGCAGACCAGAGTGAAACCTGTAGCAAAAGGCTCTCATGATTAACAAGCAGTGAAGGCTTGTTTTTCATGCCTTGTGGGTGTTTCTGGGCTGAAGACTGAGATTTCATCCAGCTTAAGATCAATTGATTCTCAAACTCAAGAATGTTCCAGAAGCAGCTCTGAGTGTCCACCAGTGCTAAACCAGGAGCACAGCCCAGGCAGAGCCACAGCTTCTCACACTAGCTGTGGTGATAGCCAGGGATTTTATCTGCCCTGCCCCTACATCCTGTTGCCGACTGAAACTTTAATAAAACAATAAAAATGAATGCCTAGAAAAGTGAAATAAAAGATGTAAAATGTAAGCTATTTTTTTAAATTAGATCAGATAGACATAAAATCACTCAGTCCAATTGCTATGGGAGTTTTTTAATGTCTGAAGTTAACTCATTGTGAACCAGTAACAAACAGTTCGCAGACCTGTCCCAGTTTGCAGACCCCATTTTTAAGTTCCAGTGGTGCAATAGCCAAGAGCATGGGGCTGGGACACGGGGCCCTAGTTCAAGTCTTGGCTGGTTAGCTTACTTGTACAACTGGGACGAATCATTTAACTTATGTGAGCCTGTTTCCTCGTCTGTAAAATGGAAATACCTCCCTTAAGGGGTAGTTGTAAAGATGGAATGAGATTTTGCCCATCCTTTCATGTCTATCATGAAGCCTAGAAAAATCTAAGGAGGAAAATCACTCTGGGAGAATAGCCAAAGCGAGCGTCTTTCTTTGGCCATAAATGAGGGTTGCAGAGCAGTGTAAGTATTTAGATGCTTAATTGGAGTTCTCTGCAGGCATCTGTCTTTTTGGTCTTGGAGAGAGATTGACAGCGCACAACTGGGATTGGAGCGAAGTCTGGAGACCCCATCTCCAGCTGCCCTTCTGCTGCCTTCCTGGTTTTTCTGAATCTTCCAAAGGCACCTCTGTTCCCGGCGCCCCTTTAAGGAGCTCTTAGGAGGCTCTCCCATTTCTTTCTTGTGATTTTCTTGCCTGCATTCTAGTTGGAAAGGTGCTGCCAAAGGGTTCTACACCAATAACAATCAAACAATCATAAGCGTAATTAATGGTAATGACTTCTACCTTCTCTGCCTCTGAAATGGTATTTCAACAAGACTTCTCTCCGATGCTATCACAGGCTCTGTGACTTCTCCTCCTTGTGGTCCTGCCAAAGTTATGACAAGAGGAGCTAGGTTTCAACTTACTGCAGCCAATTTAGCTGTACAACTAGCTGCGCTAAGGCAGGCTGACCTGGGGGTGTCAGTGCCGGTTTCTACCACCCAGGAGCCCAAGGGCAGGGTTGGGAGCTGGCATTTCAGAGCCTGGACTCCTCCCCTGGGAAATGTGGGGCAGTGCTTCACTGCAGGCAGAGGTCCTAGAAGGAAGAGCACCATGGAAAGTGGCCTGTAGGACAGAGGAATAATAATAATGGGACAATAATCATAATGGTGTCATATTTAACCTTTACCAAATACTCTGTGCCAAGTATGACATTGAGTGCTTTATATTTACTATTTATTTGCATCCTCACACTTTTTAGGTTAGACACAATTATTTCCATTTTACAGATGAGGAAACTGAGGCTCTGATACGTCACTTAGGTAAAGCACATGAGTTAAAAGTAGCAGAGCCCTGATTTGGAGCCTGGCGTATCTGACTCTGGCATCTACGCTCTGATTCGTTTACCTGGTGATTCTCAGACTTGACTGGACATTAGCTTCGCAGATGGAACTTTTGCAAAGTACAGATGCCCGGGTCCTGCCTAGACCAATTAAATCAGAGTCTTGGAGGGGGAAGCCAATTGTCAGTAACTCACTGCCCTCAACCTTTTGCCCCTGGGGTCTGCCAAGGGCACCCATACAGCTGGGCTACAAGTACAGGGATGAGCAGAGTCAGGCGTGCAGGTAGGAGTGAGGACCCGGGGGTGGGCGCCATGGAGGGCTTTTTCCCCGTGGAGATCTCCAATTCCAGGAGTGTCACTGGCCCTGCTTAGAAGCCAAACACCATCACTGTGGCTGTCATGGGGAGAACTGGGCAGTTAGTGAGCTCAAATTGAGCGCCATCCAGCACTGGTTTTTAAAATGAAGTGAAGGCATAAGGCTATTTCTTCATTCTCTAAATGTTTGCTGAGCATCAATTATGCCATAGATCCTGTGCAGACTGCCAGGGATGCAATGGAATGGAGTACCAGACTCATAGAAACTGCAGAGTGAAGTTTATCTGAATATATGAATGAATTGGTTCTGCCATACGTTGGATGACACTTAACTTGCCAAATTAAAACCTGCTTATTTCTCCCCTCTTGGGGTCAGCCATGTCCCTGTGCGGGGAAGCTGACCCATAGGAGAGGCCTCCTTGGGTTCTCAGGCCTAAGAAGAATGGAAAGGCACCACAGAGGGGCCTGCAGGGGCCTGGGGCTGTTTCACCCATCCTTTCTCAGCATTGTGGCCTCACACACAATGATGGGACATTTCCTGCCCAGGCTGGTGGGATATTGAAAAGACTTAATTTGGGCAGAAACACAGCTCAGGATATGGGGCCCTGAGAACCCATAGACTTCAGGAGGGCAGGTGGCAGCCTGGGTCACAGGTCTGGATTCAAATCTAGACTCTCTCATTTACTGGCCACAGGACCTTGGCCACTTAACTCAACCTCTGAATACTGTGGCCATCCTGTGACCAGGGAAATGTAAGTATTTGATTACCAGATTAGGCTCAATTTCTTCTGTAAATATTTGGCCCCCAGCATTTTAAGGGTCAAATTAAATCCTATTTCTGGGGAAGTGAATGCCTGGCATATAGTGAACACTCAGCAGATGGCGGGGGTGGTAGTTTTGCTTGAGGTGGTGGGGATCGAGGTAGCTTCTCTGCTGAAGTTCCTGAGCCTTTGCACAAGGCTGCACAGGGGGGTGTCACCCCTCAGTCTGGCTCTAGTTGTTAGAGGCTAGGAGAAGAGGCCCAGAGAGAGTCTCTCGTCAAAGAGCTGGGGAGAGGCCCGTGGGACGGTGGAGAGAGCAGGATGTTGAAAATGAAACCGCATTAGCATAAGTTCTAGAGGAGATGGGTTCCCCAAGTGTTTCATTCAGCTATCAAGGCAAGACTGGAAGTGAAAGGGAAACCTAGCTGCTGTTGTCTGTCTAGGCGACAGTCCCCACCTCCACCTGTTGGCTCCAGGGTAAGCAGCAATTACAGAGGCGAGGCGAGGGGAGCCGATTCTTTAGCTACAAGGATCCTTGGAAGAATGTGGGCTGCGAACTCAGACTTTTGTTTCCTTTCTTTCTCTCCGTCCCTCTGCCCTCTCCTCCAGGTGACCTGGTTTCCCGTGCCATGCACCACATGCAAGGCCGCCACCCGCTGTGTCCCGGCTCCAGCCCTGCCCGTCAGGCCCGCCAGCCGCCCCAGCCCATCACCTGGTCCCCAGACTCCCTCCACACACTCTACTACTTCCTGCGGTGTCCACAGATGGAGTCCATGGAGAACCCCAATCTGGACCCCCCGAGAATGGCCCTGAACAATGAGCGGTAGGGATCTTCTTTGGGCTGCACACCCGGGGGAGCAGGCTACCCAGTGAGTGTTGACTGACTGACCGATGGACAGGGCGAGAAGAGTGCCCTAGCGACAGCCTTCCTGCCTCCGAGGAGGCGGCTGGCTCGAGGTGGGCTAGGAATACGGGTGGAGGAAGACCTGGCCCAGGAATGCAGTGGGCTTGTCTTACCCGGGGCTGATGTGGCAGGGGGTTACTGAGGCTCCGAATGTGGCCTCTGTCTTTGGCCTCTGTCTCGGATTTGCCGGCTCTAGTGCTCACTTTCTGGGCTCTCTGAAATTCAGTTGCTCTTCCAAAAAGTGAGATGTTCATACCTACCTGGAAAGGTGGTAGTGAGGATCTAGTGAGCCGGTGCTCTGCGAAAGACACTGGGTGGTAACTGGCCTTCCATCAGTCATCGCGGTCACCTCTTTTGATGACAGTGATGTCACCGTCAGGAATCTAAGGCGCGTTTTGCCCCATCCATTCATTTTACAAATGAGGACATCATGGCTCTGGCAGGTTATTTGATCTCTAGTGGGTTCGTGGTTGAATAGCCCCAGGAGCCAGGCCTGCTGGCTGCCAGTCCAGTGTTTTCTCTACAGGGTCCCAGGCCTCTCCTAGCCTGGGGCAGGTCACTCAGAACAGGTTGTGCACTGCACAATGGGCCCCAGCAAGGGAGGACACACATGGGCCCCAAGTGGAGGGCACACATGGTGCCATGTCAGCCTGAGGACAGGGTGCCATTTCTAATTGGGATACTCAGAGGGCCATCTTTTAAAACGTTTCTGCCTAGAGAGGACAAGTTTTTTATAATTTGCCCAAAACACCATATATATTGGCATGAGTCAGTCTTACCTGGAGGCCACCACATGGCCACCGAGATAGGGTCTGTCCATGGCCTCGAGAGTTGTGTGCTTGAAGATCCAGGAAGCAGGAAAGACCTGCTTTCGGCTGAGGAAGCCCCGTCTTCCACTGCACGGCAGGGCCCAGGAGAGGGAAGGGGCCCAAGGGGCTCTGTGCCCATCATGCAGGAAGATGATCTGGGACCTGATACAGAAAGTGCTGACACCTTCCCAGTCCCCTTGCCCCAGCTGCCCGTCATCTTTATGTGGCAGCGAGTCATCAACCGTGTGCTCCTCACGCCCACTCCACACCAGGCTCACGTCTCCAGTGCCTCCACAGCCGGTCACAGAAAACCAAGGTGCAAAGGTAGATTCCTGCACCCCAGTTTATTAAAAACAGCCATTGTGAAAACATTGGAAATCCTACAGACAGATGACAAACTGAGAGCTAGCAATGAAGTGGCCTAGGAGTCAGGCAGCTTGGGCACAGACAGCAACACTGGCATTTACGAACCTTAAGAACTTCGTGCAAGGTTCCAGTGTCCCCGAGCCTCAGTTTCCTCAGCTATAAACATGGAGGTGGCAATGAAGCAGTTGAAAGGACTAAGTAATGGTAGTCAACATTTTCTGAGCGTTGACTATGTGCCAGGCACTGTGCTGAGCACTTTGCATGTGTTAACGCATTTAATGCACACACTTCCAGAAGATGAGTGCTCTTTGCTGCTCTTTGCAGCCCCATTTTGCAGGTGAGTCAATAGAGACAGATTCCGTAACTTGCCAAGGCCACATGGGCCCTGCTCATAACCACTACACAGGCTGTCATTATGAGAGGCATAAAGCAATAGTGGCCCAGTACACATATGTAGTAGATTCTTGGTAAATGCTGCCAGCATTGTTGTTATAACTGGCATCAGTATTAGATTGCCATTGTCTTATTTCTCTGGGAGATGGACAGTGTTCATGGGGCCAAGACAGGTCACTCTGGGCCTGACACAGACAAAGAAGGCAGCAGGTGGAGGCCCCGAAGTTTCCGAAGGAAGCGTCTAGTGGGGAGGTGGAAGCAGAGCATGGGCCCTGCCCCCAGCTGTTTCTGCTTTGTGGAGAAATCGTTGTGGTTGCCGGAATTGTCAGGGAAGGAGAAAGGGCAAGGAAAACATCTGGGATAGGGTAGGAGGCCGCGGCTCGCTTGTTCGGTGATGTCCCCGAGGGTGCTAGACTGGGCCTGGTGGCTGGAAAAAAAGACAGGGAGCCTTTTTTGGACCCGCTGCCGGAGCTGCTTGGCTGTGTGGCTGTGACTGTGGCCGCTGGCCATGGGGCGGGCCAGGGAGGTGCTCCTCCATCAGTGCTGTGCCGAGATCCCCCTGATGTCTTTGTGGCTGTCCCCTGGCTTTCCCCCTGGGAGGGTTCCCAGCCTCTGATGCTCTAAAATAAAGCATCAGGGTTTCTGTAGGACCCGAGTTGCTTGTCTGCCTGCAATAGCTGAGCTTGGGAAGTGACATATACACGTGTATGTGTTTCGATATCTCATTATTTAAAAACCACAGTCTATGCCACAAAGCAATTGGTAGCAAAGGCATGTTCCCATGAATCATTTAATGAGTATGAGACCTGTGGGAAATCAAAACCACTTTAGAAAAAAAGAATCCCAGAATTTCAAATTTGGGCATTAACAGGACAGCCAAAGAACACCCAGGCCAGCATATAGCCCCGAGCTCTCTGGCTGCCCAGTTCCTGGCTGCGGAAGTGGATCCTGCCGTGCTTGGACTCACTCTGACGGGCCAGGCCCCTCAGGCCTTGGAGAACCTGGCCAGCCTTTCTTGGGGGCCACTGAGCTCACTGCCACTGGAGGCTGGGCCACATATCCCCTAAGGCCCCACCACTTCGTTATCCTTTCTTTTCAATTACAGTTGACCTACAATATTATATTCATTTCAGGTGTACAACATAGTGATTAGACATTTACATACGAGTGATCTCCCCAGTAAGTCTGGTACCCTTCTGACCCCATACCTAGTTATTACAATATTATTGACTGTGTTCCTTATGCTACTCTGATGTCCTCACCAGAGCTCTAGGGAAAACCTTCTGTCCTCGAACACAGAGTAGCTGGAATTTGCTAGGGCTCCAAGCAGAGCTTTGCTTGTGTGTCTGGGGCTTTGTGTCTGTCTGGCTGTCTCTCTCCCTTTATTCCCTGAAAGTTCCTCCCTCTATCCTACGTCAGGAGTATGGGGGGCTAGGTCCCCAACCAGAATTGGACAGAGCATCTGATTTAAGGTGCGACAGCAGGTATGTGGTTTGGGGACTTGATGGTTTGGGGATTTCTGGGTCTCTTGGGATTAAGTGACATTTCCACTGCTTTGCACACATGGGCCAAGGGTCTCGGTTTGACAGCATGGGTTTAGCCATAAGGCACCATTCACTGTGCCACTCATGTCTGTGCTCATAGATTGCTGCCTTGAAGAAATTATTCTTCCTTCTAGTTGAGGGCTGTGCGCAGCCACATCCAACCTGCTAAGCAGTGAGACATGTGTTCCCTCTTGTGGGAAGCTCATCTTGGCGTTCCCTGCTAAGTCATGTGCTGCCTCTGCGCTGTCTAGTGGGGTCTTGGTATCTCTCTATAAAGGCCTCTTCTCACCAGAGCCTCCCAAGGTGGGAGGAAGGAGTTGTAGAAACAGTGGGAATGCAGGGTGGCAAGTGGGGCAGCTTTGCAAGGGTCAAAAAGCACTCTAATGCAGGGGTCCCCAATTCCCGGGCTGCAGACTAGTCCATGGCCTATTAGGAACCAAAGGTGAGTGGCAGATGAGCAAGCGCAGCTTCATTTGTATTTGCAGCCACTCCCCAGCGCTAGCATCACCGCCTCAGCTCCACCTCAGATCATTAGGCATTAGATTCTCATAGGAGCACCAGTCCCTGGTGTCAAAATGGTTGGGGACCACTGCTCTAATCTGCTGCTGTAGTGAGCCAGGCCACACGGAGGAAAACACTGGCTCGGGAGCAGAGGCCCCTCCATGCCTCAGACTCTTCATCTATAAAAGAGCTAAGAGACTCCACTGGGGAGGACGAAGTGTAATAACACATGTAAAAGTAGCCAGGTCTTCTTTTTTAAGGGCATTTCTTTCTCTTGTGCCCCTCAACAAATCAGCGAGGCAGGTACTCACATTACCTCCATGTTACAAAGGTGCGGGGGGGCACCCAGCTTCTGAGTGGCTTGGCAGAGTTGTGAACCAAATCTCTCTGGTATGCCTTTCACCATACCAGGCTACAGCTTCCCCGCCCAGCTGCTGAGACCTGGTCCTCAAGCTCTAAGACCCGGGTGGGTCCCAGCCTTTGGGGCCAACTCCTCTAGGTCTCAGCAGCTTTCCCACCCAGTTTTAGGTACTATAACTATTAGCATGATCACTGGTTTTAGGCAGAGGAAATGTGGTACCTAGGAGAGACAGCAAGGAGCGTGTGGCAGAGCTAGAGAACAGGACAAGCAGTGCAGAATGAAGCTGCAGAGGGAGCCCAGACCTCGTGGGCCAACATCAGGAGAGGGCTGAGCGTGTGGCCTGGAAGGTCCTGCCCAAGTGGTCCTGCTCGGTGGTTGCTGTGATTGGCTGGTTTTTATTCGCTTCTCTCCCCACACCACTTCTGAGAACGAGAGGAGCAGAAGGCTGCAGGAAGCCCCTCCCGCACCGCTTGCCTTGATGCTGTGAGGAGAGACATTCCTACTAAGGTCCACCCAAAACGCTCAAGCCTGGGGCTGTCTGGCATGTTGTCCTGCGCCAACTGGCAGGTTCAGGAGGGACAGGGGCCCAAAGTGCTGGTCGGATACTATCTTGGCCCCCAGTTCCTCTAAAGCTATTTTTGCACAGGCTACTAGGGCTATGGCTCAAAAGTCGAAGCCCTTGTCCCAGTGAGATCCTGGTGGGAGATGCTGTATATCCAGCCCAGCTCTTGGCTGCCCTGTTCCATGTCATGCTGGCCAAGAGCTTCTAGCCAGTATGTGGACAGAACTTGGAAAAGCTGGAGGCAGCAAAGGTGTCAGCCTTACGGGTCCTATCCCCTCCGCCTGAAGTCCACACCTGTGACTTCAGGTGCTGCTGAGGGATCACCTAGAGGTGTCATCTCTGCTGCCTTCTAGCAGGTGTCAGCTTATCTTCTAGGCCTTGGT